AACAACAACCGATACCTCCTCTCATCCCTCATCATCGCAATCCTCTGATCCCCCGGCGCCGGCGACTCATACCCACTCAACTCCGGGAGCGCCGTCAGCCCCAGGTCCTCAAGCGACTGCGACGACGGCGTAGACGCGAACAGCGACGACGCCCGAGTCGACGGTGCCGTCGCCGTATACACCACAGGCTCCGGCATGCGGACCTCGGCGTTCGCGACCGTCTCCTCACGGTGGGGCCCAGGTCCAGGATCGAGGGGCGAGATGGTCCCTGAGGGCAGTCGTACGGTGGGACGCATCGTTGCGGAAGAGCTTGAGAGATCCTCCTCGGCTGTAAGGTACGTCGTATCCGTCGCCGTCGAATCCGGCGATATGCCAAGCAACGGACCCGCCACGCCCATTCCCGCTACAGTACCCCAAAAGCCGTAATCAGTACGTACTCAATTGTAACCAACAAAAAGACGTACGTGGCGTCCCGAACCTCGGAGGCGTATCAGACACAGGCAAGGGCACAGGCCGCATATCCGGTGACTCCTTCGAAGGCGGCAAATCCCAATTCCACTCCCACTGCCTCTCCTTCTCAATAACAATCGGCGACGTCGTTACCTGCCCCTCCTCCCCACCGCCCCCATCGCGCAGGAACGCCGTGCGCATCGCCTTGACATCCACGACGATCTTCTCAAAGGACGGGCGCACGTCAGGGTCTTGGTGCCAGCACACCCGGAGGAGGTCCTGGAGCAAAGGGGTGTTGAACGGTGTGTTGGGGACGGTGGGGCGCTGGTTTTCGTCTGTGGGAAGTGGTATTAGTTCATTGTTCGTATGGCAAGGGTCACGAGATAAAAAGAGAGTCAGGGGTGCGGTAGTCATTAGCTACGTCAAGACGCAACCGAAAGCGGCAGGAAGCGCTCGATCGAGAGAGCGCGCCCCTCCCATTCAAAGGTCCAACGCAAAACCACTCACTGAGCACAAAATGCCTAACAGCCACATCATCCAACAACGCCCACGGCACCCTCCCCATCGACAAAACCTCCACACACGAGATCGCATACGCATACACATCCATCTGCGGCGTAAGCGCAAGCTGGCTCAGCCCCGACATCAGCTCCGGCGCCTGCCACCTCAGCGTCCCATCTACACCCGAACAAAAACAACCGCTCGTCAATGAGGAAGGAGAATGTGAGGGGGATGAATGGGGAGGAGGACGCACGAGGCGGGGCAGTCCCACTGATCCGGTACGCCTCGCTCTTCATCTCGCTCTGCCCGAAATCAGAGATGACACAGCGGATCTCATCGTCCACCAGCACATTCGCAGCCTACAACACAACCCCGAAATATGAACAAACCCGACAGAGGACGAATTTCAAATGATATAGACGAACCTTAAGATCCCCGTGCAGCACCCCGTTCCGATGGAGGTAATCCATCCCCTTCGCAATCTCCAGCATAAACCGAAACAAATCGCCCTCCCTCGGCACCACCCCCTGCTCATCCCTCCCTCCACCCGGGCTCCTACTCGCCCCACGCACCCTCATCGAAAAGCTCGTCGTGCGCCCCCTCGGGCCCCCACCACGCGTCTTAACAGAGGACCGCACCCCCTCCTCCTCCTTCACCGCCACCCTCTTCAAAAACTCCACCAAACTCCCCCTCCGCATATACGCACTCACAAAGAACCACGGCCTCTCCCCACTCGCACTGCTCGCCCCATACAGCTCCAGCACATTCTCATGCCTCAGCCCCTTCCAGATCCCCACCTCCCTTACAAACAGCTCGCGCGGCGTCGTCGCCGCTAGAATCTTGATCGCCACGGTCCGCCCGCGCCATTTCCCGCGGTAGACGTCGGAGAAGAACCCGATCCCGATCTTGGCCTCGCGGTCTACTTCGTAGCGCGTGATCGTCCAGGAGGGCAGGTTGGTCTCGACCCCGCGGCTCATCCGCCTCAGCGCGTCGATGCCGCTCTCGATGAACTCCCGATCCAGCGTGTCCCGCCCCCATCCGTCCGCCGACCCGCTCCTGCTGTTCGTCCCAGAGGTCCCGCTCCCGCTCCCGCTTCCAGTCGTAGCAGTCGCCGTACTCCCCGTTGTCTTAGTCCTCGTAAGCTTAATCCGCTCCAGCACCTTCCCCTTCCCCTTCTCCCCCTCTCTTTCCCCCACTTTCTCAACCCCCACCGCCTCCTGATCTTCCGTCTCCTCCTGCTCCCCAACCCGCTCCAACGCCCGCTGCAGCGTCTTAATCGCCTCCGGCATCTCCTCCCTCCCAATCTGCAACACCCCCAGCATCTCCACATCACTACTCGTCTGCAGCGCCGCCCGCATCAACGCCCTTAGATCCGCACTGTCCCGTGCCGCATCAAGCGTGTTCTGCGTCGAGTGCAGCGTCCTCAGTGTCGGGAGGATCTGCGACGCCCGTAGGCGCGACGGCGAGGCGGGCGGGTCGAGCATTTGGGTATTGGTATACGGAGGCGGCTGGGGGGCCTTTGGTGTATCGGGGGCCTGGTTTGGATTGGGGCTTGGGGGGGGAGAGAGGCCGTAGATGCCCTCGAGGAGGAGACGCGTGTCGGCTTCGCGTTGGCGCTCGGAGGCTTGCACTTGCTTGAGGATGCGGATCTGGATGGAGATTCCGAACCGGCCGAGTGCTTCGCCTAGTGAGGCGTCGCAGTCGCTGATTTGTGCGAGAATCTCGTCCCTCTTGAGGTACCGCTTGAGGAACGGGCGGTGGACCTGTTTCTGCAGGAACATGTGCACGTTGCTGAAGGATCTGGGGGTAACAATTAGTTTTGGTTGGATAATTAGGAATCTGGCGACGTACTCTTCGAGCTTGGCAATGGGCTTGGCAAGTTCCTCGCCGACCATATCGCCCGTCTCGTGGAGTTCCTCCCTGATGGAGAGTAAGATATCAGCGCATCGCTCAGTGAGGCGCAGGCACGCCAGCCGATTCGTCTAAAAGTTAAATTTAGATTTGTAACTTTGAAACCAAAGAGAGAATGACGTACGTCAACCAGTTCGAGCGCGTCCCAAATGTTCAGCAAAACACGCGCAGCCGATGCAAGCCCCGGCACCGGCGCGAATTCCAGCAAATCCACCGCCGTCGACATTACTTCGTGCGTCACCCCCGCCGCCGTACCCAAAATTGACACAGCAGCCTGCGCAACTCTCTACCACGACGCTATCAGAAACATACACCCAAACCAGAAACCGGGGAACGTACCTGCCGGGTATGGATGTACCCCTCCGTCTGTTCCTCCGGCACCGTCTTCTTCCTTCGGGGCGGATCCCGCCAAGGCCTGTGCGCCACCTCCGTGTCCCGCCCGTACCCACCCCACCAGCTAGACGGCGGCGCGTTCGGTGGTGTGGAAGTCCCCATAACCGTTCCCTCCATGCTGTCCATCCGCCCCCTTGACATCGTGATTCCAAACACCTTGAACGCGTTCACATCCTGCTTCTCGTCGCGTTCATTGTGCGCGAGTGGTACGCTCGGCTCGGAGATGACTCTGCTCAGAGGAGTGCCGAGGGAGAAGGAGCTGCGCGGCTGGCGGATGATCGAGGTGGACTGGCCACGGGGCCGGGAGGGGAAGGGCGAGGGCGGGGAGAGGATATCGGGCGGGAGGAGCTTAGGCGTGTGTGTCGGGGTCGTCGAGTTTGACGACGACGTCGAGGGGGTGAACTGCAGGCTGGAGGAGGTCGCTCCCATCGACGGCGACGCGGGAGGACGTGACGACACCATCTCTTTGGGGAATCGGAGACTGGATTCGATGTTATATCTGGAAAGTACAAGGACTGGGGGAATTGCCTTTGCACGTCCAGGTAACAGGCAGCGACAGCGGTCGTCGCAGCAGGAATCAAGCGTCTTTTGGCGGGGCTGACGTTGTGTGTTGCCCCGTCGGCGATATGACAGCCGTGGGAGGATCGAGTGATCGGGCCTAAAGGGGAGATTATGTTTTTGCCTCCGGGCGCTTGTGTTGGCGGACCCAATTCTTCTTCGTGCTTTATATACGAGGGCAAGGTGGTGGCACTCGTTAGAGGGAGGTGCGCAGTGAGAGGCTCTGTCAGCGCAAAGGTAGGTACCCTATTCCTGTGCATATGATGGTATGTGACGAACAAAAAGTCAATACTGCTACAGGCTATCCATGACGACGCAGCGACGTGACGAGAAACAAAGTCCCCGAACCCCGAATTCAGAAGAAAGTCACCCAAGGAGGCCTTAACAGGCTGAATTGGAAGCCGGCCGGAGTTGGAGGAGGTGGAGAAGCACGTATATCACACGCCCCGAAATCCCACACGTTCGGAATCGAAGCTCTCTCTGTGACTGACAACTGACCCCAGTTTTTCTTTTTCGTACCAAGATCACTTATACGCAGCACATCGGAGCATGCTGTTCACATCGAGCGGAGTGTACACCCCGTCGTCCATTCCAGCGAACTCGCGAGTATGCAATGGAAAGACCTGCTATACTCTACATCCGGATGGATTTCTGGCCTGCATTATCATACGCCCACCATTTCGAGCCCTGCAACAGCCAGATCTCCCCCCAGGATTCGTCCAGCACCCTCGATTGTCTACTGCTGCGGTCGGCCGCTGAATGGAATCCTGACTATCGACACGCTTCGAAGGGGGTCCACAGTCTCTCAGCACCCTCATCTCCTGGGCTCCATACCCTCATACTGAGGCCTCTCCTCACTCAACGCACCTACTTGTCCATGCCTGTGTCGTTGACCCACTCTTCCTGCGAGATCACCATCTCGGCTCCCGAGAGGTCTGAGGCGCCAGACTAGGGCAGAAGCGCGCAACTCGTCACTCATCGATCATCGCCCTCGCTGGGGAGGGCTCGCCACAGGATACCCATCCAACATCACGTCTTTTTGCCCCCCTACCCTATTCTTCACGCCCCAAATCGGATCTTCCACTCCGTCTTCATCCGCCAGCCAAGCGCACACACTCAACCTCCTCACAGGTCCCTTGTACGTGGCATCGCCCCACTGGAACTCGTCTCGCCATGCCCGGAGACATGGTGAGATGGCCGAGCGGTCCAAGGCGCCAGACTAAGGTACGATGTAACAGTAGATGTCAAATCATCTGGTCTCTTCGGGGGCGGGGGTTCGAATCCCCCTCTCATCATATCTTGCCCACTAAGGGCAATTTTTTGCGTCCTACGAGGTGTAGGAGGCTTTATGTACAAGATGCGCGCGCCGCGCGGCGCGGCTGCGGGGTCACTATTCCATGTTCCAACTATGCTCTACCTCGTAGAACTTAGAGGACGCGGCGCTCTACGAAGTTGGCTCCCCACATTTCTTGCTCCGAGTCCATCTTGGGCCATCCACGCGCGAGATTCTGGACACAGCCTATTCTGACATCCAAAGGCTATCGCATTACGACCCACATCTATTGACATCTAGGACTACTTACGTATTGCTCAAGATGATAGGAGTTCCAATCATGCTCGCAGCACCGCACCCTTAGAATGTCCTTTCGCTGCACTTCCCAATGTGACATGGGCTCGTAACCTCGTACATCCAGTTCGGGGGCCCTCCTGAGTCTTTAGGACCCACCTCGCAATCCATCGCTGACTCGAGGTACATCCTTTAACGATACCTCAATAGCGTCACCCGATTTCCAGGCATATTAGAGCTATTAGTGATGTCCTCTATAAAGTTTTGTTTTCTCCGCGCAAAACTGCACTTTCACGACCCTTACACTGCCCAGGTCGACCCATCGCGTTTCGTATAGTCCTCAAGATCTTACCTACATTCATCTACTTACCAATCGGCAAGCCGTTTTTACCGCATCGAAGCGAAATAAGTATGAGTCATCCACTCAACGGTTTTCTTGCCACTAGGTTGTCGCCCGCCGCAGCGACACGGTCGGCTGGTGACTTCACACCACCCTGACTCAGATGAATCTTTGTATTTTCCCCGCAAGCCTACCTCTGACATCTGTTATGCAGTATTAGACGAAGCGCTGTGTTGTGTTGGATGCTATCTTTGAGGAAAGTGACCGGTGAGTGATCGCGGTAGGGCAGAGAATAAGATCATGACCGGAGAATCTGAATCGCTAGTTGCTTTACAATTACATGGCAACTTGGCCGAGCGGTCTAAGGCGCCAGAATCAGGATCTGGTCTTTCGGGGCGTGAGTTCGAATCTCACAGTTGTCATTTCCAAGTTGACCTTTTTGCTGAATCTGCCTCTCTCAAGTCTACTGTCTTGGCCCGAGCCTCGAGGCCGCCATGGCTGCTTCACTGTCAACTGAGATCTCTAACCGGAGATGAACAATAGCCGCCGTGTATGGGGAAAAACGACTGTACTTATTATCATTGATTGTGCGATGTATACAGGGTGTATGGCGATGCACTGGGTGAAAAAAGAAGCACAATCCTAGAAAACTTTCTCAGCCAAGACCTTCAAGATCTCTACGAAACGCTCATCCTTAACCCTGCCGCAAGTTAATTCTTAGCGCCTCCAATGCCCTTCACTTGAAAAAATTTAGCCGGGCTGTCATATTCGGCGCTCCGTCATATCTGTTGACCCTACACACGAGGTCCAGCTACTTCGTATAAGTATATGAATAAACACCCAGCACCCCCGGCTCAGGCTTGTTCGTTGCAAGGTTATACGGCATCTGCACCTTGATAGCTATACCTTGGATCCAGATGACAGGCCCTTCGGAACATGAGAAGAGCGGTACCAGCGTCTGGCGTGTCTGCCTTGAGGTTAAAGAATCTGTTCTAAGTATCGTCTGCTGGATGCGTAGAGTGGTTTCGGGGTGACCGTGTTCCGAGTCGAGAAGGGCTGGCACGTTTTCTTATCGCTACTCCATGGTCTCTTTAGGTACGAATCGCGTCAATAATTTAAGAATATGCAATGAAGCATGACGAATGAAGCCCGCACTTTGATAATCCACGGAGCATGTCATTTATTGCAGTTCTTCAGCGTAGCGTCTGTTCACCCGCAGTAGTCGTAACATTTCTCCACCTTGGTGCTTCCTCTTCGCTCCTCTTCTTGACCGTTTCTGGATAGCCGCGGTACCCTGCGATCCGAAAGACAGAACAGATTGTCTCGGGATCATGCCGCCTGCTTCCTTGATCTACAAATCGGCCAAAATTTCATGAGCGGGTCGGTGCAGCCACATGACACTGGTGGAATACCGGGATATTGACACCTCTCCGGAACGGTTTTGGGAGTTGACATTGGCCCCGGCTTTCAGAAGCGTCAGTATAATGTACGAGTGCAATTTGGAGCGAATCACTGGCAACGGTGTGACCAAGAGCGGTGAAGTCAAGTCAACTATATCCGGGACGTCGACGGGAACGAGATAAGATACTTCAGGACTTCAAGATGCTTGGTCATTGGCTTGAGTCGTACTCGCTGAGCGCCCGCGATGGTGATACTTGTGTGGCCAGGCCTTTCTATGAGATCTTCGTGCCTGCGAGGTCCGGCGCCACGTCCGATTCTAGCAGCTGAAAAGAACATATAGGCTTCCGTTATTTCCAGGTGAATCTAATACCCATTCGGCGGACCATTTCGACTCAGCCTACATAACAGCCCAGACCACGGTGGGACAGCTTTATCGCTTCAGATGCCATACTACCTGCGTACAATGTAGGATAGGTTCTGAAGCCTGGTTAATTAAGAGTATCCTGCAATCCTGGAATTACGATGAGGCGTTCATCGTTCGTACCAGTTTTCGAAACTCGGGACTGCTTGAAATCGAGAATTGGCATGCAAATTAGAGATGGTGGATGCTCGTAAGTGGCCACAGGGGGAAAATGGCACTCTTGTCGGTGATCGGAACTTGAAGCTTGAGGGTCAAATAGCAGCAAATAGCGGCTTTCCCCTCGTCGATCCCGTCGCGTTGCGAACCAGTTGCTATGATGCATAGCTTTCCTTTTTCTCTCCCTGTTGTTCCGAGTTCAGTAGTTGATGTTGGCCTCTTTCGCTTTCAACCGTGGTCGGTAATTGTCAGGCCTCTCCTGATCAACCTTGTATGTTGGCCTTGCCTTTGTCTCAATTGTTGTTCTTCGTGGTGCGGTCGGGAAGGATGGCCATAGTTCTCTGGAGAGGACCATCAGAGCCACCGCTATGCGGTCTTATAAAAGGTCGGCTCAGACCCTCATGAAAAGCGCTAAACGCGCCCCTGAAGTCCCATCCCTACCCTGAAGATCTCTGAGGAATACCCTCGCTTCTTCACCGCTGCTACAGTGACAACGTGAGTCGTCTCGTCATACACCAATCATGTCATAAATGATTTATTCTCTAGGAACTCTTCATCTACGACACAGATGATAGACCCCCCCTCAAGGAAGGGAGTCTTTGGAAGACTGGGACAGATGTTCGGTCTTCTACTGCCCAGCTCGAGCCAGTACTACAAGAATGGTCCTTCCGTCCTACCTTCCTACTGTGAATGGGATGACCCAGAGCTAGCGCTCGGAGATGATCTCACCCAAATGTCTCCGAAATCTCCATGCCTCTACGACACCGTCTATCCTCGCGAAGGATCTGTCGCGTCTCTTGATTCATCAAGCGATGATATGTACGAACGACCGCCCCCTCTACCCAAACCCAAATTGAAACAGGCGCCCATTGGGACATCTCGACCTACTCCATCAGGCCATACTAGGAGCTCCCTCCGCAATGCGGCGTCTACTCAGCCTCCAACTGGTTCCGATCACCAGCGCACATATATAAGGCGCCGGGTCACGCATGTCACAGAATCAACGTCTCCTCCACCCCTTCCGTTGACCAGTATGTTGGGGAGATACCAAGCAGCGAAGCGTGCATCCCGCCCCAGAGATACAAAGCGCTCTGTTCCCACTGTTCCCATACACCCCCAGCCTGATAGCCGCCCCATTATCAATGTGTCTGACAGGCAAGAGCGCTTCCGTACGGTGGAACTGGTCGGAAGCGGTGACGACGGTGTTCCAGGAAGCTCAAATTCACGATCCCATTCTGATTATCGGCCCAAATCGTTCACCGTCAAGCCCCCAGACCCTGGCTATATCGCCAGGCCGCTCCGCACCATCCCACTTCCCAATGTACGTCCCGAACCACATTCAGACTTTGTATCCCATCACGCCACCGTCACGCCTCTTCATGAAGAACCGCTTCTGTTCAGAGCTCTAATCGACACAGAACGCCGCTATACACAAGGCTTAGTCTCCGATGACCCGGTAATATACGTACCACCCCGATCCACCTGGGGCACGGCACCTCACAAGTCCTTCCGTGCGCCTGGAACGAACCCTATGGACCCCCGTTCCCCTCTGAAACCCACTCAGCCATTTCGCCGGACACCTGGGATACCGCACATCTTCAAGAGCCACCCTGTGCCGATCTCCTCCCACAACCCGTTCAGGCATCCCTCCAGGCAGGTGAACATCCATCCTTCCACACGAGCTGTCCCCGTCGGTCAAGGAATTCCATCGCACAACCATGTCTTCGCGCCCAGGCCCCAGCTGTTTAACCCTGAGATAGTCAAGAACCTGGAACGTCTCGTCGAAGACGACGAAGAGATCATTCTCTACATGGCTTCTCAGCGTATGGTCAAGTCCGATCCCTCACCCGACCTTTCTACCGACGGCGATGACGAGCCGACCGAGCGCTGGAGTAGCAGATGGGCCGCTTCAAGAGGCGTGGCAAACCCCGATCCTTATGCGAAAGAACCATGGCGCACGTCTCCTCCGAAGGCTCACTCTGGTCTCCCAGAAGGTTCGGGCGGAGTGAAGCCTCAGATAGGATTGTTTGATGATTTCCCTGTATGTGAAATGTCTATCGCGATGGGGCTGCACGATGATACGCCCCCAACCAATGTCACGATCCAAGCGAATGATGTCGACTAAATAATGTTCTTCCGGTGTTCTTTGTCGCTCTGCTGTCATGTTTCTATCTTCCAATGCCTGTCTCCTAATGCCTGTTATGACCAATGCCTGTCTCCTAATGCCTGTTATGACTAGTATTTATTATGATCCAGATACCGTAACAGATCCTGATCCCTTCTATAACGAATAAAGATAATGTCCCTCCTCCACACGGCCTTGTCTAGTCTACCAGCCCTTACACGCATCTTCGAACTTCCACCTAAGATGCCCCCTTCAAAGGTGCCTCACGCCAGCAATGCCCATGCC